TTCTTGGCTGAGCAAATTGGCATCTGCTGAGCTCCACACTACCACAGCTGTATTGTTATTGGTACTAAAGCGAGCTAGTTTTAAGTCACTTGGGTATCCCTGCATTTCAGTTGGTGACTGCTCTGTACCCACAGCCTGTTTTCATGCAAATACTTTATCTTCTCTTTGTCGTCCCCTGAGTGTATTGAAATGTTCTCCTGAAAGACCATGTAAAAGGGACACTGGAATCCTATCCAAAAGTTGTCTTGTGCAGCTACATTGAGTACCCTCTAAAAGTGACTAGACTGTGGTGTAGGGGGAATGATGTGGGACTCTACTTGCATAGCTCTTACAAGCATCTCCTCTGGAAACTGCCTCTACTTCAAAATATCATTATTTAAAAATAACATAGCACGCAAAATTGTACTGGAAACCTTTAAAGGTAATTTAATGTTGTCCTTTAACACGGAAGATTGCTGGCTGGAGGTAGTTATTGATACAGTGTTCATTGTGAGCTAGAAGGAAAATAGGTGCTATGATATACAGTGTGGACTCTTGGCATAGGAAATAGCTTAAGCCATTTATCTGATTTGTGTTCAGTAAATATTTTGAATTTGTCCTCAGGCATTTTTCTAGGTGACCTATTGCAAAATATTGCTTAGCAAGGTATTTTTCAACACCACTTACTAAATTAAGGCAGACGACTAAAGTAGATCTAGCTGTAGAATCATAGAAATGTAGGGCTGGAAGAGGCCTCAAATAATTTTGTAGTTCAGCCCTCTGCACTGAGGCAGGATCAAGCATGCTTAGGCTGTCTGTGCTGGGTATTTTGTCTAACCTGTTTTAAACACTGCTAATGAAAGAGATTCTGCAACCTGTGTAGGCAGTCCTGTGTTTCATCACTGGAATAGTTAGGAAGTTAGATCCTTAAGATTCAAATTGAGATGGCTCTTGTGCTTCCCCCGGAGGCCGTGGAGAGCAGTTAATCACTCTCTCCTTTATGTGGACCTTTTACTTACTGGGAGGCTATTATCATGTTCCACCTACAGACTTCTCTTTTTGTAGACTAAGAACACTCTTTTCCTTTAACCTTTCTTCCTAAGTGGTCTTTTTTTTTGAACCTCTTGCTGTTCTTGTTGCTGAAAAAACCCCAAACCAGGTGAATGTGAAAGCAGTGCCCCAGACAGCACAGTCTAGCAGAGGCCTTGCTAGTGTTGATAGTTCGGGCAAGTGCCATATGCCACTGGTTAGGATCCATATGGTGATTCTTTTAGACCCGTGGGAACTTTTAAAATGCCCTGGAGGTGATGTTTAGTTTGGTGTAGCATGTAGTGCTTTTCTACATCTCAAGTCACTATTTACTGGCCATACAGTGATGCATAGCAAACAGGTTGGTTACTCTTCCATCTTGAGTAATGCAATATTGAGTTCAGTAACTGGTGTGGCTGTAGTAAGAAGGGGGATGAGTTTGTTCCTACTGCATCAAGACTTGCTTTTTATTTTTTCTGGAAGTGTCCTATATTCCTTAAGCTAGTTCCTCAAGTAGGTGAAAAATCTCCAACATATGTCCCTGCCCAAGGTTGAGGGAAAGATTATAAATCTTTTCCAAACCTATTCCTGCCAAAAATATAGAATCAATAAAACATGATTTGGTTTAGTAAACTAGAATTTGATCAGACAAAATGTAACGTGTTCTGTAAGGACTCAGTCCGTAGTATTTCTATGTGGAAATTTATTCCCAAATGAAATGTGCTTCAGTCTCCCTGCTGTCATTTAGATATTATCTTGAGAGGGCAGAGATTACTTATCTGTGGAAAAAAAATATCGCACTGATAATTTAAACTCCAGAATAAATTCAGTTTCACAGAGGAAGTAAAATGATTGGGAATGGTGAAATAAGAACAGATGTCTTGATTATGCTAGGTTAGTTCAGTAAATTTGCATAATGTCATAAACAGCCCTAGGCAGTTGTATGCTCAGTAGACTAATGAGAATGTCTCACTGTTTTTTTTTCTAACTTTGGAGGGCAAAAAAATCTGAAATTGGACTGCTAACATGGACAACTCTCAAAATATGCTTTACAACACTTATTTCCCTAGATCTGATTTAATACACGTTTGGAGCATACTTACTTAAGAAATATCTGGGAGCAATTTGTGAAATAAAACTTTCTTTTTTTGCAAATGTTTTTTGGCTGGTAAGGCTCCTGGCAAAGAAAGTCACAAGCAAATCTCTTAACTTTATGTCCAGTATGTTGGACCATGCATCTTTCTATGAGATGAGTGTCAATTCTGCTTTAGGCATTCTTCCGTAATGAGTCCTGGAGCGGTGCGTTGGGCAGTGATGCTTCTGGAGGCTGAGTCTTCTCTGATATGCTTCCTGTTCCTTGGGTAGTGAAAATCCAAGCAGGCTCACACACCAGGTTTCCAAGCAATGTATTTTATTGTGTGTAGGATGCGATTTGTTTGAAATCTTTTAATTACTTTTCTCAATAATTTTAAAATTGGAATTTAGTGTCAGTGTTTCCTTATGATTTTCAGAAATCAAAAGCAGTTGGGCAGGTTGGAAGGATGACACATTTTCTTGAAGGCTAGGGAGAACACCATTGAGGTGGCGGTACAGGAAATTGTTTGCTTCCTAGCATAGACTAAAAATGCAGGAGGCTGTCAAGTAAGAGGACATCTGATGTCTAAAAAACCACTTGTTAGGGCTTAAGAAAATCTGCCTAGCTTGGGTTTTCGCTCTACAGATATTTTGAAGAAATGGAAGATGCCCTGTTGATTTGAACTGAATAAATAATGCACTGTAATTTTAGTAACTTAGTTGCTGCTGAAATTCTGCATCTTTTTTAAAATGGTACAGCGAGATGATGTCTTTATAAATAGCACATTTGAGTTTACTTTTACATGTTGTCTTTCTGATTGCAGAAGGATGACTTGGTCGTAACAATAATCTGTTTTTAAAATTGGCCTGCTTCCGACCAGATTCATTCTGTGATATATGCCAGTATTTGTTGCCAAGAGTGATTTTTTTGATATGTTGAAGCTTGGATTTTGCCATTGTTGAACGAATTTGGTGCAAGAAACACATTGATTAGGGAGTATTCACCTAAGCATTAAAAAATTACTAGCAGGAATAGGAAAGTAATTGCAGGCAAAAAGACTGTAGAGACAAGAGCTTGCTAAAACACAGATTGTGTGCTCTTGTGACTCTTGTATTCATTTTGGTTATATAGATGAGCTTGTTTTGCATAATTAATCCTACTATAGAAAGTTCCTAAAGTTGTAAGGCTCCTGTTGCTAAATGTCTGTAATCAGTTCCTTAAAAAAAACACACCTTCTTATGAATTACTGCTGGAACAGTATGGCATGGCTAGAGAACAAAAAACCAGAGCAAGTACTTGTAACCTGCTAGTTCAGGGTTCCCAGCATTTCTGATCCCGTGGAACAGATTTCTCACATATGGGTTTGGGTCTGGTGGGCCTCGGGTTTTGAAACTTGGCAGTGAGGGAGCAGTAGCAGCATTAATTGCCACCATTCCCCTGCCCCAAACCTGTGGGCCAGGTGTGTTGTTGTTGCACCAAAAAAAAAACCTAACAGCATACTGGGTTTTATTAACAAGTGTCACTTGCAAATCGAGGGAAGTGATTGTTCCCATGTTCAGCACTAATGTGGCCTCATGTGGAGTTCTGTGTCTACTTTTGGGCTCCACGCTTCGAGAAGGACAGATTGGAGAGTGCAGTGCACAAAAAAATGACTAGGAGCCTTGGAAGTAAGACTTATGAAAAAAGGTTGAAACTGCAGCAGAGGAAATGTAGATCGGAGATTTTTAGGGACTTTCTGACTCTGAGAGTAGCCAGGCATTGGGACAGGCTGCCTAAAGAAGCTGTGGAATCTCTATCCGTGGAAATTTGTAAGAGCAGGTTGGACAGACACTTTGCTGGGGTGATTTAGTCATGGATGACCTGCCTTGAGCAGGGAGCTGGGCTAGATGACCTTAGGAGGTCCTTTTCAGCCCTACCTTTGTATAATTCTATGATACTGCTCTGTGGGCTGTAGTTTGAGCACCACTGCTCTAGTTTCATGAACTGCACAAATGTTTTTAACTCCTCTTCATTTGTTTTAACTTGTCTAAGTGGGGTTCTGCTTAGTTTCTGATGCTGTATTTCAAATTTCCTTTCCAGAATTGTCTTTGCCGATTTCTTCATTATGAATCTCATTCTCTGGGTGAAGGGATCATCGGCTGCTATCCCCTTTGGCACGCTGGTTGCTATCCTGGCCATGTGGTTTGGAATTTCTGTCCCGCTAACCTTTGTTGGTGCATATTTTGGATTCAAAGAGAAGGTAGGTTTTGAGTGAAATGCATATTGTTCTGCCCCTTGAGATAATAGCTCTCCATTCTACAGTTAAACATTTATAGTATATTGAAGCTGTCAGCATAAAAAACTTGGAATTTGGCTATAATGTTGTCAAGGAATTTGGCTATAATGTTGTTAACTTCTGATTTTGAGAGTCTTTTTTTTATGAATATTTTGAAACCAATTTCACGTTTTCCTGCAGCCATTTTTCCTGGTTTAAAAACAATTTTCTGACCGTCTTCACTGTAGCTTTGCTTGCACAGTTTCTTTGCTGAAGTCATTCGATTAATATAGCATAAAATCAATGATTCTGCTTTTAAAAACGACATAACATAAAGAGCTCCCCCTTCCTACATCTTCGTTGTGCCAAGTCAGCAGTGAGGTAAAATAGCTAGAATTCACTATTTTCTAAAGTTGGCTTGTAATTTTAATAGCTGTGGCTTGGCTCAGTGTTTTCATCCATCATCTGTATTACAAAATTGGTGGGAAAGACCCATTTTTTATTAATATGAGATGCATAGGAATGCTTATGAGAAAACGTTTAAATGATGCTCAGTTAAGAAATAATGTGAGGGGAGTAATCAGTAATATAGTAATAAGGTGTTTTTCCTTTTTCTTTGTGTTAATTTCTCTCAAAGCCTATTGAACACCCAGTTCGCACAAACCAGATTCCACGGCAAATCCCGGAGCAGTCCTTTTTCACAAAGCCGCTGCCTGGGATCATCATGGGGGGCATCTTGCCATTTGGTTGTATCTTTATTCAACTTTTTTTCATTCTAAACAGCATTTGGTGAGTGTTATATTTTTGTTTTAGACAGCTTGGACTGTCACCTCAAACTTGGGGACAAACAAAAAAGATGTGTACAGTGAGCGCGCAGATGATTCAAAATCAGGGATTTGGAAAACTGATAAACACCTAGGACCTATGACCTTTGTCGCTTTTTCTCTAGAGGCAGAGCATGTTATATATGGGCATTAAAAACACACTTCTTGCCTCTTCTAACAGAATGTTTTTATGGCAAAACTCTTACGTATAGTTGCCTTAGTCTGGAGTTAGGAGACCAAAACAACAGCAGTAAAGCGTGATGTGTCCTAGACGGTCTTAATGCTTAAGCTTTTCCTGCTATAGATGCAGCTGTGTGATTAGCTCCCTGACATGGCTGCAGCATCCTGTTGGCCTTGCCTGGTCAGGAAATCCTGCTGCTTTAACTCTTTTAAAATCCACTCAAGACTTTGGATTTCACAGGTTTGTAACAAAATGCAGAAACACGTTTAACACCCGCAGTTTGGTCAGATATGCACATGCAAGCCTAGAATGGTGGATGAGGCAAGGGCTTTCTGAGACCTGAACAAGGGTGCTTAGTGCCTGAAAGCTTGTCCAGCAATAACTCCCAGCTATATAGTTGGGCTAGTAAAAGAGATCACAAAAATAACCTCTTGCTTCATACATTTTCTGGTCTGTCATGGCAGTAACAACACTCTGGCCCTACTAAAACATGCAGATTTTCACATGCAGCAAAGAAACCCTGGCTCATTGCTAATAGTGTATCATTTTGTTGCTCTCTTTAGGATGCCCAGCAAGCATGCATATTCAGATATGCTTTCATATTTTGACATTTTGTCCATTTAGAAGAATGTTCTATGGGACTGAAGGCTCAAGCTTTTAAATTATATATAGTGTAAAATACTGTAGTGGATATTTATTCACTTTTTACCACTAGTCTTTTACAAGTGGTGGGTGGGTGAGTGTGTGGGTGTGTCTGTGACCGAAGTGTAAAAATGATGTTCTAGTTGTGATGATCTGGAAGTTACAAGACAGATGAAGGATTTCTTAGGGTGATATCTTTTATTGGACTCAGACATTTGAAAACTGTAGGCAACTGACAAAAGAAACTACACAGGATTTTTTTGGCTTTAGTTAAAAGTACTTAAACTTGTTATAGGAGAAATAATTCTATTTTTTTCCTCCTAAAATATCCTTAAAGAATTTGCCAATATACCCCTTTTGGCAGATCTCTTAATTGCAATAATGGCACTTTTCTTTAAGGTCACTAAATTTGTTTTGATGCTTTTCTACCTCGTCTCATGAAGACAAGGTTACCTTTTTACATTTTGGAGGATTGTGTGAATTTCTGAGTTCGCAAATGGCTGTTGGGTTGAAGTAAGATTATTGGGGGATATTTAGAGTAGAGGAGCAACTGGGTGAAGGTGTTGTGGGGGTGGGGTGATACAGGACAGCTGGAAGACTAATTTCAGTTTTATAAAGAAGACAGATGCCAAGCTGCAGAGCAGCACAGGAGATGGAAGAATGAACCAGTGAAGCATAAAGGCCTGTTTTGCTTTGAAGTTTAATAGCATTTTCTCAGTGATAACTAGAAAGTTTACATGCATTTGGGGTTTTTTTTTTTTGTTTTAGGTCCCATCAAATGTACTACATGTTTGG